TAGACGGGTCTAAGATGGAAGTGGTATGTCCAGCAGCAGACTATAATTCGCATATGGGTGGGGTTGATAAGGCAGATATGTTGAGAATTTTATATGGAGTCGACAGAAAGTCAATAAAATGGTGGCATAGACTGTTTTTGGGGATCATGGATATCTATAGCTGCTGTAAATGCATGTTGTGAACAAAAAATAAATGCTTTACAGAATTACTATGGGATTCCCATTCGAAGAAATTCTGGAAATTTGGATGATATGACTAAATCAGTCAAAGCCGTACTGACCCACATCGCGTCTTCGGACCAAGATGCGTAACATCATTTATGCCCAAGTGGTGAAGATTCTTGTTGCAACTACAACAAAGATCCAGACAATTACAAACACAGATATGGGTTGCTAAAAGTCATTGTAAAGGAAATACAACCAATATTCTCGTTTCTGGCATCAGAAGAAATATTATAAAAGTGTTTACATGGGAAAACTCAAAACGTAAATGAATGTTCGAACAAATTGATTTGGGACAGGTGTTCTAAAGAATTTAGGACAGAGTCCTGTCATTCAAGATGCTGTAAATATGGCAGTAAGCTATTTCAATAATGTCAATAGCAGCATTATTGAACTATTCATGGAATTAAACATTGAACCGGGTCTCTTTACTAGAACCACTTGTAAAAAGGGAGACAAAGAGAATAACTATGGCGGAAGTAAAGTCTTCGGAGCGTACCAAGCGAAGGCGTACTTTCCTCCGCCATGAAAAAAAAAGGATGGATTGACAAAAGGCAGCAATAAGAGGGGGAAATATATACCCCAGGAGGACATTAAATGATGATAATGGGAAGAAATATTAAGAAATATAAATGAACTATTATTATAAATTATTTTAAATTCTATGTTTAACGTCCATTTTCTCAGAATTGAATTTTCGATGAGAGCCTACTCTAATGCTGTGAACATGATAAATCAAAAAGTATTATAAAGGCAATCTTAGTGAAATTTTGCATACATACTCTTTATATTATGCTTTACAGATTAAAGCTCTTAAAACAGTATTCACAATGTTCATGTTTGAAATTAACTGCCATGAATACGTAATAAGCTACTAATTTTTTTTATTTTTTTTTACTTTTAGCTAAATATTTTTTCCCTGTTATGTGAATAGTGTATTCTTAGAGCTTTAATCCCTTTATAACAATGTAATTTATAATGTGAAAGTTTGGTGAATTTTCATTTAGGCATTCTTGAGATATGGCCATTTAACATTTATCTGTAATTTGATACTGCAGTGGCCATTTTGAATATATAATTAACCATAATTATGAATTTTTTGTGTGTAATATATTTGTTATGATTTTCTTTACAAATTGAAAGCCAATATGCATTCATTTGAACTTGCATTAGGGTTTGGTTTTTTTAGTAGTGATCTACCTTTTTAAGGGTGCTCTTCCTCTCCTTGACTTTAAAAAGAGACTTACCATGGGCCTCATTGCTTTAGCAAGGCCAACATTAGATTATAAATTAGATTATATTCACCATACAGTATCTTGGGTTGGGGTAGGGTATTTTTTATCCCGTACGAGTACCATATTCACAAAAAAAACTATTAAAGATCTTATTCCCACCAGCATTTAGTAAGATTGAGTGAAAACATAAGATTATGAGAACTAGACAATATGCACATTCTGGATAGGATGAAAGGCCCATAATTTATAATTTTGTTGTGTTAACATTAACGAACTCAATGTTTTTATGACATGTAGTTGGTCATTGCTCATGATTCATATATTTTTTGCAGTATTTCTTGGTTTAATAAAATGGTAGCCAGTCCAATTTGAATTATAAACAAAAATTTCACTAAAAATTTAGCTTTTCTATGTGGTAATGTTTTCTAAAAATTGCACATAAAAAATGCATTTAAAGTAGCATTGATATTATATAAGGAACAGTTGACCTACACTCTCAAACTCCTAGTCATATGGCTTTCAGCTGAAATTGTCAATGTTGCTGTAATTTTATATAGTTTGATTTAAAATTTTAATTTTTCATCAATGAGCCAGTAATAATATCTGTATTCCTCCCGGTATTCAAATAATAATGTCTTTTTGTAATAATTTCCAGGATAATGAAAAATGTTTGTTAATTCATTAAATTGAAACTTGAATTGCTATTGCTCGATGTTTTGAAATACATTCTTATTTTTTGTTATTTTTTCAAGAGAATCAAATGTGTACAAGTCCATTAATTAATCATAATGCTCTTTCTGCACAAAAATAGAAAAATTGACTATTGTAATCAGGTCTTTTTCAAATCTTTCAGCAAGTACTGTAGTCTGAGCAATGTGGTGATCCAGATCGATGTATAATGTTGTAATATAAACACCAGTTCTATCAATAATTACAGTAGTTGAAGTAATAAACAAGGCAGTCAATATGAACATGGCCATGTCTTTTCCATCAGTGCTGTATTATTAATCCTCAGCTATGTCAAATGACTTTTAACATTGTTCCCCATCTTTGCTAAACGATTTCCAACATTGTTTGTCATTTGTGCCAAATGATTCCAACATTATTCTCCATCTATGTCAAACCTTTCCAAAATTGTTCCTCATTTGTGTAAAATGCTTTCCAACATTGTACCTCATCTTTGTCAAAGAATTCCAACTTTGTTCTTCACCTGTGTCAAAGGATTTCAATAATGTTCCTTAACTGTGTCTAATGCTTGCCAACAGGTCTCCTCATCTTTGTAAAAGGATTCCAGCATTGTTCCTTATCTGTGTTAAATACTTTCCAGCATTGTTTCTCATCTGTATCAAAGGATTCCCAACATTGTTCCTAACCCGTGTTTAAAGGATTCCAACATTGTTCCTTATCTCTTTCAAATGCTTTCCAACATTGTTCCTCATCTATGCCAAATGCCAAAGGATTCTAACATTGTTTCTCATCTGTGTCAAAGGATTAGCAACATTGTTCCACTGTGTTAAACAGTGGGGGAAGGGAGCATGCCCTTGCAAAGATTACTCCCACCCCTACCCCCCAGTTGTCACCAAAAATCATGGTCAAGTAGATAAAAATCACCTACAATCACCTAATTTTGAGAATTAGCATCCCTCAACTGATCATTGATTCCTCTCCACTTCACCTACGTGCCCCAACCCCCATTAGCACCCCCATTTCTGGACTTCCAGATACGCCACTGGTGTTAACAGATTTCCAACATTGTTCTTTATCTGTTTCAAATAATTTCCAATATTGTTCCTAATCTGTGCCAAGAATCTCGACACCGTTCCTTATCTTTGTCAAATGCTTTCTAACATTGTTCCTCATCTGTGTTAACGGATTTCCAAAATTACTCCTCATCTGTGTCAAGGAATTTCCAATACTGTTCCTTATCTGTGACAAATGCTTTCCAAAATTGTTCCTCATTTGTGTAAAAGTATATATCCAACATTGTTCCTCATTTTCCTCAAAGAATTTCCAATATTGTTTCTCATCTGTGTGAAAGTATATATTCAACATTGTTCCTCATCTCTCTCAAAGGATTTCCAACATTGTTCTTCATATGCGTCAAAAGATCCTCAATGTTTTTCACCAGTGCCAAAAGTTATGTTTAAATTTTATTTTCTCTACATTGTCAAAAGCATGAGCAATATTTTTTTTGTTTGCATATGTTCATAAATATTTAATCATCAATTTGAGACTGCAATTGTCAATTAAGCACGATTGAGGAATACAGACAACAATGCTAGATTACAT